CTTGTTGTGGTGCCATCGCAGGCGCGGCACTGACAGAGTGGCTTCGCTGCTGTGGCATCACACCTAACGCTAGTGACTGATAGAGAGGGGAGCTGGGAGTGTAGTAGCCCTCTCTACCAGCAGGGTACTCTATGTCATGGAAAGGGTCCCTAGGGGAGCATGGTTCTGGTGGGTGGCAGAGAGGAGGCATCTGAGGATGGTTGGCTGGCAAGGGCACGTGACAGGACAGGGTAAGGATGTGGGCCAAATGTGACAAAGGGACACGTGGTGTAGGGCCCAGAACCTTTTGGTGAGTTCGAGAAGGGGGCGTGGTCGAGGGCGGAGCCAGGCCACGCGGGGGGGCATAAAAGGGAGGTCCCGGGGCCGCATCAGGGCTGTCTGCTGGAATGGAACCGGCCGTGCTACGTCTTCTCCTCGGTCTCCGGTCTTTGTGCTCGGCATCGTGGGTCAGGCAGTGTGCCGACTGACCTGACCCATTTATATAGTTACCCCGTGGTGATTACCGGTTATGTAGTTGTCCCGTTGTGGTTACTGGTTATGTAGTTACCCCGTTGTGGTCGTAGAATAAACGTGTTGACTCCTGAATTAGTGTGTCTCTCAAGTGAACCCACTACAATAATATAAATGTCACAGTAGAAGTAGACTCGCTACCGATCGCTCCAAATTGCGGAACAGTATATTTTATTATTTTATTAAGCAGTTTTACCGATTTGGGTTCAAATGTATAATATTGTTGGAGTCCTGTTTATATAATATATGTTCACAGTAATAAAATAGGTGACATTCCACAAGCACAACAAACAAAGCAACGCTCAAGTTTCAGGTTTCATTTATTTAGGTATAGCCCTGTGAGCCATGCGGCTCTTAGGTCGGGTGCAACCGCAACAAACAAAATATGAATACAGAACATCCCAAAGCGACGACGCGCAACAGAAACATCCTGGAATAAACCAGCAAATATTCCACCCAAAAAAACTTATTAAAACGCTGTGTGCCAAAAACCACAATGTGGTGCAAGCCAACAACAACAACCATACGATTTACCATGTTTTCGAATCACCAAAATAAAGCTATAAAACAATGTAACAACAGTAATCATAGGAACTGTGATTTTAAATTTAACAATACATGATATACATAACACGTACGACCAAACTTGCAGCCAGAGCTGGCAGCACAACACTCCCAGTGTATGATGTGTGAGTGAGTCAGCAGCAGCGTGAGTGAGTGTATGATGTGTGAGTCAGCGCACGATGTGTAAGCGCATGATGAGTGAGTCAGTGTATGGTGTTTGAGCGAGTCAGTGGCAGTGTGAGTGTATGATGTGCGAGTGAGCCAGCGCACGATGAGTAAACCTATGTATGATGAGTGAATGGGTCAGTGGTTGTGCGAGTGTATGATGTGTGAGTGAGTAAGCGCATGATGAGCGAGTCAGTGCATGATGTGTGAGTGATTCAGTGCATGGTGTGAGCGAGTCAGTGTATGATGTATGAGAAAGTCAGTGTCGTCTCCCTCTGCTCGCGCCGTCGCCCCCCCCCCCCCCCTCCGACTCTGCTGGCTCCTCCCTGGTTCCGTCGGCACCCCCCCAGCTCCGTCGCCCCCCCTGGCTCCGTCGGCCCCCCCTGGCTCCGTCGCCCCCCCTCCGGCTCCGTCGCCCCCCCCCCCCCAGCCCCGTCGGCATCCCCCACGGCTCTGTCGCCCCCCACCCCGACTCCGGCTGCCCCCCCGGCTCCCCCGGCCCCCCGGCCCTGTCGGCCTCCTCCGTCGGCTCCCTCAGCCTCCTCACAAATGGCCCCACCAGCCGCTGCTGTGAGCGCAATGCATTTGTCAATAACAATGTATGGAAATGTATCATGGGACCTTTTTGCCACTATCAAACTATGAAAAATTTTAATAGGTTTTACCCTTACTGGCAATAAAACAGGTGTTAAGATGTTTAAACACCAAATAAAAACCTTTTGCAAGTAATCATGTCTGCATTAACCACACATACTTGTGGTGAATATGCAAACAAACATGCTCTGATAATTATACATACATTGTCTATGAAACTGATTGGCCTGCACCAGAGACAGCCTTCTGTATAGCCGAGTCTCACCAGAGAACGCCAAAAGGCGAACAGTGCAAGGACAATGAATGTATTTGTGGGGGCTGCTGCCCCCCAACTCAATCACTCGTGGGAGGGCTGCTGCTCCCCGACTCCTGTCCCCCTTCCTCCTCCTCTTCCTCCCTCCGCGCCGCTGCCGCTCGTAGGTTCGGCCTCGCTGCCTCCGTGTCCCCCCTGTGAGACATGACTCTTGGCTGGCCCTCGGCCACCTCGGGTTATCCAAGCACACTCCCCGCGTACATTCTCCCCAAATGTTCTGAGAAGACTCCTTGCACGTGTGTGCCCATGCACGCCGCTGCCCACCCTCGGGCACGCGCAGCCACCCGTACCTATTGGCCACCTCGTGCACGCTCTAAAAATAGTCGTATGAATATGCATGTGTGTACCCATGTACCTCGCGGCGGAGCTCTACACACAAGCAACAACCACCACAACCACCACCACAATAACCACCACCATAACAACCACAACCACGTGCTTGAATCTCGCACACGCTGACCCACTTAACACGCGCGTTGCAACGTAAACACACTGCGCAAGGTGCGCAGTGTAAATACGCTCTCGAGCGCAAACATCGGCCACCGATGCGTGGCAGCTTTATCAATGAATACGTGCATGATTCCACGTACGCACATACCCAAACCGCGTCCACACTCTCTCCACCCTCACAGAAATCACACGGTGCTGTTATTTTATACTAGAGGTTTATTCTCGGCGCGACTGAGGTTGATCACTGCGCGACCCAGAGCCGAAATCAGTGAGGAAACTACTCTGTCTCCCGATGGTCTAAACCCAATCCGCCCTGTCTATTTCGAGTCAATTTCCCGAGGAGCCCTTACGCTAAGCCTCACCTCTCTCACGCACTCACGGTTCGGCTCGGACGTGCGGGAAGTCGGGGGGAACCGAGGCTGCGTTACGCTCCTGCTGGGACCGGGTCCTGGCTGCGCTGTGACGCGTCACACACACGCTCGAGTCGCCGGAAAGTGGACTGCCCCGATCGCTGACTTGAGAAGAACACTAACTCCTGTCGTGCTCGCCACTCCCCTTTTATCCTTTTCTACATCAAAGAGACCCCTCGGCTGAAGCGGGCGTTTTTTCCGGCCAATCAGAGCGCTCCCCCGCGTACCTCTGTGCCCAGCACTCTCGTTCCGCCGCTCGTGGCCCCGCCCCCCCCACCTGCCGTGCTGTGTGCGTTCTCACTGCGGTGGCGGGGTGGCCTTGCCGTAACCATGTGATCTTAAGTCGATTCCTGACCCCGGGAAACCGTTGGAGCATTCCCATGAGGGGGCCCCCCAGGTGAAAACCCAAAGGTCAGGTGACTTCCCCACGCGGTCCTATGTGGGGGAGGTGTGTGCGCTCGTGTGGGAGGTTGCGAGGGGACAGCAGCGCCGGCAGAGCTGCTTCATTGATGTGGCATCACATATTATTGCTAAAGGTATCTATTTGGTGTTTGAACATCTTAACACCTGTTTTATTGCCAGAAATTATAAAACTAGACCTCTCAGGGCAGCCTGGCTTCAAGAGCAACGTTTGAACACAACTTGCGAACATCCCACCACTGCCACCAAAGAGACCCCAGTCTCTTTTGTAAGGGATCTGCGAGCCACCCTCACGCACTCGCACCACGCAGACATGAAATCTCCGCACTCAGTATAACACGCACCAATCACACGCACGGGAATACACTAGACGGGGGTCAAGGGTTAAACGACACTGAAGTCACCCGGACCAGGCGTGCGAGACGAGGATGTGTATTGGGAACGAGGGCGGATTCTAGATTTAAAGCTTTCGTGACTGCAAGGATCCATGCTCTTTGGTTCTATTGGGTAAAGTCACGTAGGTAAAAAATAAAATAACAAAAATCACGACGTTTCGGCCACAACACCTGATGAAGGCCGCTTGTGTTGTGGCCGAAACGTCGTGATTTTTGTTATTTTATTTTTTACCTACGTGACTTTACCCAATAGAACCAAAGAGTAACGAGGGCGGAGATGGGAGGGTTTAAAAGGGGCTGTGAGACGCGTGTTCGAGGTTGGTTTTGGAATTAGTGTGGCTGTGGGTTAAATAATAAAGAAGTGCTTAACCAGTCTCCGACTCCTCTTCACTATGTAAATGTAAATTTCGATTTAAAGCTTTCGCGACTGCAATGACCCTTTTTCACAGCAAATAAACATTGTGCCATGGATGACCAATGCCCGAAACCGTCGTCTATTGTATACACAATGACGAGACAACACCGTGGCTTTAAAACGAAAATGCGACGCCTTTCACCTGAAACATCGAGTATGTTTGAAGTTACCTGGGGTGTGTTTACGGCCCACCCAGTCACCCAGCCAGCCACTCAGCCACCCACCCTGCCTCCGCATCAGCCACACACCCACCCATCATCCTCCCTTCTCGCCCCCCCCACAGCCAACATCAACATAATCAATCTCCCTTCACGGAAGGCATGCTAAGCTGTTAACTTACCACCCACAGACTGTTAGGGCAAGTGCTGTTAGCGAGGAACATCTATGAAGGCCGGCCGGCACGGCACACGAAGGGGTGGGTGGCCAGCACCACGAGAGTCTTCCCAGGGCTGATGTTTTATAGTACCAAAGGTGCTCGTTTTAATGATGAGTCGCCGATGTTAGGCGTGAACAGTAATTGAACTCGGGTGGCCGGGTTCGTAGAGCGCTAAACACTGCACGACCCACACACACTCAATCGCCGCCACACACGTATTGTACTCACACACGTAGGGGGCGGAGCAGTCAGCGCGTTGCGCTACGAACCCGGCGACCCGAGTTCGATTTCCGCTCACAGTCAATGCGGCCAATAGAAGCGATGATTATCTGAACCTAGGTCGACTCAGCCTCAAATAAATACCCGATTCGGTGTGTAAATATCGCTCAAACTAGGGCGTGGTGCTGGCCACCCACACCCCCTCGTGTGCCGTCCCGGCCTTCATAGGTGCTGTTCGCACGCAGCATTTGCCTCCAGTCTGTGAAGGCGGCCGTGTGGAATGTTTGGGGGGGGAGCACAGATTCTGGCTCAAGATATCGCAACTTTAAAAGGGCTGCCACCCCACCCACACGTACGGAGGGGAGGATTACATAACGCAGCGCGAGCCGGGGACTCGCTGATGGACGAGGAGGAGGAGACGGTTCAAGGACTCGCTGAGTCGTTCATGAGCTGTCACGCCTGTCAGTCCACAGCAACATGGAGCTTGCGATGATGGGTCATCATCATCACCACCGCCACCAGCAGCAGCAGCAGCTCGTGCTGTCACCAGCAGGAGGTTTGAGGTTCTGGTGTTAACCAATTCCCCTCTCGCCTTGTTCGGAAAGTGACGGGACACGCGTTGAGGACGAGGTGAGTGAAGAAGTAGCGGCTCGGATTCCGATGGGGAATCGCGTCACGCGTTTGTGCGGGGAAGGAGCTGTGGCTCGCAGTGGTGCTGAGCGTGCACTGTGCGCTTCGGGAGCCGTTTAAACCGAGTTCGGTGTCACTCACGGCTCGCAGTCTCAGTGGCGAGTGAAGTCGACATTGATCCGAGGCAATACGCCCCTTCAGCAAATCCGTTGAGTTTCTGGCTGCTGCTGCTGCTATTATAGATGTCCACGTGATAAAGCCATCATTTGTGATGGCCAGGTCGCTTCTGACATAGTTCAGTGGGCCTTACCTGGTAAAATAAAATAAAAAAAATATTGTTTAGTACTGACCATTGTGGTGAAGTATTGTCAATCCCCCTTCGACCAACCACGATATACTATGTATATTTAAAAGCGTATTGCGATGTCGCGTACGACACGTGTATGTACTGAATGTGCGCGTTTAACACGTGTTTTGCGGGGAGCGGTGGGCGCAGTGGTTAGCGCGCTGCCGTTCGAACCCGGCTTCCAGAGTTTGAATCCTGCTCACGGCCAACATCAACGACGAATATGTCAACCCGTACCGGGTCTCGCTTACGTTGACTCGGCCTCAAATTAGTAGCCGGTGCGGCGTGTAAGCATCTGCAACTGGGGAAACAAAAGCGACCGGGCCTGGTGCTGGCCACCCACCCGCTTGTGTGCCGTGCCGTGCCCCAACAGTCTGTCAATGCTATACGGGGGATATTTATCTTTGTTTCAACATACACATGAATTGATTTAAAGCTTTCGTGACTACAGGAATTCATATTCTTTGGGTCTTTCGGTAAAGCCACGTAGATAGAACAAATAATAAAAATAGTATTAAAATAATATTATTTTTTATTATAAAATATTAAAATAATATTATTTTTATTATTTGTTATATCTACGTGGCTTTGCCGAAAGACTCAAAGAATATACACATGAATAGCTGTCAGATATATCTATACACAGCTATATACATATGACGTATGTCCTTACACATATACCGCCGAACACACGCACTTATTACATCTACTGATATGTATGTTGAACTTATTTCGCACCGTACGTAGCCAACCATGCTAATCTGATTGGGCAAATCGTAGCCGCTAAGAAAGCCGGATTGCAAGTCCGTTGCCTCTCTCCCTCTCTATTTTACCAGTTAAGGCCCACAGAGCTTTATAGATATAGTTCAGAAGCGACCAGCCCATCACAAATGATAGCTCAACGAAGTGGCGTATCATCATCATCATCACGTGGACAAATCTAGCAGCCAGATACTCTGAACGCGTGTTATGGATTCTAAATGTGGAGGTAGAAACTAGAGGACCCGGAGAAAAATGTACACGACCACGGGGGAGAGAGACATGCAAACTCCAAATATACAGCAGGCGTGAGGGTTGGGATCGAGCCCACGACCTCCTGTATACCAGGCGAGGAAGTTAACATCTCCTAGCCACCGCGTCAATGGGGGAAGCCCTATTGAACGCCTCTCGCACGGCCTGACGACGCCTGATGACGCTTTCAGCAGTCACTACCTCATCCACCTCCTCTTCAGCCTCTCATCGGTTTCTGCTCCACATGACGCGACTGTAACAATAAGTACATCCACTATTTTGATTTAAAGCTTTTGTGACTTCAGGGATTAATATTCTTGGTTATTTCGGTAAAGTCACGTAGAAGGGAAACAATAAAATAATAAAAATATAAAACAATTAAATTCTCACGACGTTTCGACTGCAACACAAGCAATCATCATCAGGTGTGAAGACCACAGCAAGACAATTTTAAAAAAGTGGCGGGTTTTTTTACGTTAGCACCACGGAGAGCGATTTGGCAGTTATTCAAATGGACGAGTCCATCTATGTTCGGAAAAGAGGAGGGGGGAGACGCAAATAATGGATGTGGTTTGAAAGCCACCATAAGCGTGAACAATCAATTAAGACCCGAAATGGTTTATCAAATCCTTCCAATGATTGCTAAGCCAGAATCCATCTTCTCGGTTGAAATTGTCTCTGTGTTTGTATATGTGGATAGCCTCATGGACGAATCTCTCATGGTAGCCAGATGGCTTGCAGAGAACCTCTGTCTTGGAGAAGTCAATGTCATGTGAGCCTACTGAATTATAACAGTGATCTGCCACGGCCGAGGTGTTGGTCCTACCGTGTTCTAGGTCTGCTTTGTGTTCACGGATGCGGTCCGAGACATGTCGTTTTGTTTCTCCAATGTAACTACTACCACAGAGGCAACTTAGTTTGTAGACGCCAGGGTACTGTATGTCCGGAATCACATCTTTTACATAGCCAGTGAACTCAAGCACGTACACCAAGCTCTTAAGGCTAATGGTTACTCTGACTACACAATCCGCAAAGCTATCTCTCCAACCATGAGAAGGACCCTCTTGAGGAGCCATTCAAAACCATCACTTTACCCTACATTGCGGGGATCACAAAACATATCTCCAAAATCTTGAATAAACACAAGATCCAGGTCCAATTCAACACATTACATAAATTCTAGATTTGAAGCTTTCGTGACTGCAAGGATCCATACTCTTTGGTTCTATTCGGTAAAGTCACGTAGGTAAAAAATAAAACAACAAAAATCACGGCGTTTCGGCCACAACACAAGTGGCCTTCTACAGGTGAAGGAACAGAACTGTCGGGACGACAGCACTTCAATGACCGCTGCTAAGAATCTCAGCGTCTTTTAAGCTCGGTGGGAGGAGCAGGGCGCCTTGATAAAGGAGTTTACATATCAAAAATAGCTTTGTTAAAGTGTTGAAGCAGCAGGGTGTTAAAGTCAGAAAATTAGCTGGGGGATTAGCATGTTCTTGTGTAGAGGGTGCGGAGGATGCGTCACTGTGTGTGTGCAATAGAAACGGAAAAAAATAAAGATCGGCAAGAATGTGCTGTCAGGAGAGAGTAGAAAAAAGGGTTTAATAGAAAGTTGGGAAGGAATATGCTTGGTATACCATTACTTGAGATTGCTGTTAGAAATTGTTGACGTTTGGTATGATTTAAAACGTCTTTCCAATGGTTGCTTAATTTGAAACCATCCTCTCGGTTGAAGTTATGTCTGTGTTTGTATATCTGAATGGCTTCGTGGACAAATCTCTGGTGATAACCTATAGGTTTACAGAGAACCTTGTTATCGGAGAAGACAATCTCATGATCACCCATAGCGTTGTAACAATGATCAGCCACAGCAGATGAATTCGTCCTGCCGTGTTTCAGATCTGATTTGTGCTCGCGAATTCGGTCAGAGATATGTCGTTTCGTCTCCCCGATATAGCAATCATCGCAGGTACAACTCAATTTGTAAACTCCGGGGTACTGTAAGTCTGGGATGACATCCTTCACGGATGGGACCAGGTCACGGATTTTGTGTACTGTATTGAACCGGACCAGGATCTTGCGTTTGTTTATAATTTTCGAGATCTTTTTTGTAACGCCTGCTATATATGGTAGTGTGATGGTTTTGACCGGAGTATCAAGTGGTTGTTTCTGTATGGAGGAAGAAACAGCTTGGCGGATGGTACAGTCAGAGTATCTGTTTCTCTTGAGGGCCAGGTGTACATGTTTTAATTCACTGGTCAGGTGGTGTTGGTCCGAAATGCAATGAGCCCTGTGGTATAAAGTTTTGATGAGAGAATTCTTTTGAGCTGGGTGGTGGTGGGAATCAGGCTTCAAGTAGGAATCTGTGTGGGTGGGTTTCCTGTAGACAGAATGCCCCAATGAGCCATCAGGTCTCCTCTCAAACAGAACATCCAAGAATGGTAGCTTGCCAACTTTCTCCACTTCCATGGTGAATTTGATGGCGGGGTGTCTGGAATTGATTTTTGTTGTTTTATTTTTACCTACATGACTTTACCGAATAGAACCAAAGAGTATGGAACATTACATAAAATCCGTGATCTGGTCCCGTCTGTAAAAGATGTGATTCCGGACATACAGTACTAATTGGCTGTGTCGGGTGGCGGGTTTACCGACACATTTATATATTTACGCGATCTAACCCAAAAACAACCTGTATTATTAACAAAACCTAGTCGTTTAACTCATTCGGATTTGTGGTTCACGCGCCGGGACTTGATTTACTGGACCTGTCGGCGGCCTTCGATGCAGCAGACCACGACTTTTGTTTTGCTGAACCATCGACAGACTCGTTTGAGATTCAGTAACTCAGCGATGTTGTGGTTCAAGTCATATCTTAGGGTTTATAGTACAGCATGCGAATTTTTGTGGTTAAGACGAGTCCGAACAAAACATATTCTATTGAGTACCTCAGCATTGTGTTCGGGCCATTACTTTTCAGCATCTACACGCAACCACTTGGCTCTTTGGTACATGAGTATGGGACGTCTTTACTCATATGCCAAATGATACCCAGTTTTGCATTCGAGTTGGCAGGGTGGTTGGTTGCAATGCTGCCACTTTAACAGCTTGCCTCGCCGACATCAACATTTTTGAGGATCTATACAATCTTCTTCCACTCAATGCCCGAAAAGGCGCTGCTTGCTACTGCTTCTTTTTGCTGGCACAAATAATCAATTGGCAAACCTAGACACAGTTGATCTGAACTCATGAGGGTGTCCGGTTTATTCCACCTTAATTATTTATTTTCAGTAGTTTAGGATTAAGATTAGAAAGACATTTATGATATGCACTCGCGATTCCTCATATCCGCCTTTGTTATTCTATCATCATCTTAAAGAGTTTGGGAGTTTACCCGAGATTTTGTCATCTGGGACTTGAGCAGCCTAATCTAGTGACTAGGACTGCCCCTTTTTCTCACCTCGGAAACCTGCGCCGTGTACACGCCCCCCTTGTTAATACTAGCCATTGGTGGTAAAGTAGCCGTCGCCTATAATATAGACGCATACACTCGTTGTCATTCATTTGTAGTAAAGCACGGTCCTTGTGTATAAAGCAGCTGAGGGGCTGTGTGATAGGGCGAGGTGGCACCACAGCGGGGAGGGGCGGGGATGGGACTCCCGACTCGTGGTGCTGAGTGTGAGCGTTGTCGGCGCCACTGAGTGGATGGAGCCACCTCGCTCCTGCAGCTCGTGGGTGTGAGGTCGAGTGTGGGGCAGTTAACGGGCAGCCACGAGGCTGTCACTTGAGGCAGTTAACGGGTAGCCACGAGGCTGTCAGTTGGGACAGTTAACGGGCAGCCACGAGGCTGTCAGTTGGGGCAGATAATGGGCAGCCACGAGGCTGTCAGTTGGGGCAGTTAATGGGCAGCCACGAGGCTGTCAGTTGGGGCAGTTAATGGGCAGCCACGAGGCTGTCAGTTGGGGCAGTTAATGGGCAGCCACGAGGCTGTCAGTTGGGGCAATTAACGGGCAGCCACGAGGCTGTCAGTTGGGGCAGTTAATGGGCAACCACGAGGCTGTCAGTTGGGGCAGTTAACGGGCAGCCACGAGGCTGTCAGTTGGGGCAGTTAATGGGCAGCCATAAGGCTGTCAGTTGGGGCAATGTAGAGTCGGAGAGTCGATGTAAATAAGTCATTTAAAAATACTTTTAAAAAAACACGCTTTAATTAAATGTACCGTACTCGTAATGGCAAAACTCCACGACTCCAGGAAGTGGCCCCGAAGCTTAACATAATGTAAGGGACCGTGGTGATTTAAAGCCAACGTCAGTTGAGTGTGGACAATTAGACCCAAGCCGAAACATAAAATATAACAAAGATGGTTTAAAAATAAATGTTTTATTTTTCATGATAGAATATAGTTTTGTCATCAGTATGACATAAGTATACCAAGTTTGCAGTCGATACCACATTGGGAAGTGGGTTCAAATTGAGTTATAAGATTTCAGGATACGATAACAACAACAACCAGATAGAGTGAGTTAAATAAAAGCGTGTAATAATAATAATAAAAATGGTGAAGTAGAAGTTTGGGGCAGTTAAGCCTGGAGAGGAAAGGGAGTGGCTGGGTTATGAGAGCTCCATAGCAAGTTATAGGACAAATAAGCATATGAGTGTAACCAAAAAGTTACCGATTGTTAAAATTGTGAAGTAATAAATTTGATTCAATTGTATTCCCCATTCTGGATACAAAATATACACGATGGTCAGCGTTTTCCCTTACTGTGTTTATATATAGCAACATTTCAAGCGACGTTACACATTCAGAACTTCTCAGCTTGATTTATTTTGAATCGCTGTCTATTCTGGCCTACCACGCAACACGAAGTAAACACCTCCAAACTACAGTCCTACGGAATGCAGCCACCAAGAGTACTGACTGAACTCATCTCCCCCGGCGCTGGAGAGATCTACACTTATTGGTTTCCGGCTCCACTCAGGATAACACAATCCTCCGACTAACGTAAAATGAATGGCATCGGATGGTGGCGGCATGGGTTCCCGCTTACCTCTGAACTTTTGTAAAGATGTGCTCCATCAGCACAAGTCTCCAACATGCGTGACACATGAGCCTCCTTCCACTGGCTCCCTCAGTGTAGGTGTTGTCACTTGAAGGAGGGGGTGGCCCATTCATTTGTTTGGCTCCCACAATGTGGAGTGACCTCTGCCCCCCCCCTCCCATTCACAGTGGAAAAGCTGGTACTGTCGTTTATGCTCATTTAAAAGGTGGCTTGATGGCCCAATTTCTTCGGTGTGACACAATTCCCCGATGAAGTCAACTCTGTCGACTCGACAACCACTATTTGGCGGTCGGGTTTTTGTGGGGCTTTGCTTTCTCGCTCAGGGAATGGATTTATAATCCGGGTTTGTTGAATTTTGAGTATGACTTTCTGAGTTATGTGTTTCTGCGTCGAGTGTGTTCATGGTGCAGCGTGCTTGTCGACGTTTTGTTGATGTGAAGTACAACATCAATACTAGTGTAAAATCGTATTTATATATTTTGAACTAATGTGTATGTATACACATTATTTTGTGTCACTGAAATAGTGTTGATGATAATGTTATGTTTAATTGTGAAGCGCTTGGTGAAAATTTTACTGTGAAGGCACAGTTGGCTACGTACGGTGCAAAAGAAGTTAAACGTACAAAAATACATGCAAACACAGTTGATTGTTTAATCGATAATGTAGAGCACAGGAAGGTATGGAGCCGGATAGCAAGAAATATACTCAGTCGAGGGTAAGGCACGACGTGCCGGGTCCTAGAGGCATTTGCTCCAGGATTCAATAACCTGCTTTGAGACAGCTGAAATCCAACTGAAGGCATGCTTGGAAGCCTACCAATCAGAGTCTCCCAGCATGCATTTGCTGAGGCACGGTGCTGGCACTGATTGTGCTCTGTGCTACTAATTTGGCATTTCCCGAGTTCGATCCCGCTCGTGGCCAACCACCAGTGAGGATTATCTGAACCGGTCCTGGGCGTCCCCTAGGTCGACTCATAATCAAATGAGTACCTAGTGCGGTGGGTAAACATCGCCACTAGGGAGACAAAGGCGGCCGGGCGTGGTGCTGGTCACCCACCAACCCTTATGCCGTACTGGCCTTCATAGGTGCTCGCTAACAGCACTTGCCCCAACAGTCTGTTCAGGCTATACGGGGAGTCTTTGTGTGTGTGTTTTCCCCCTCGTGTATGTATGTATGTGCGCGTGTATGTGTAGTAGGGTTCACTTGAGAGACACACTTATTCAGAAGCCAACACGATTTATTCTATAACCACAACAATGTAACTTCATAAACCACAATGGAGTAACTACACAAACGGGTCAGGTCTGTCGGCACACTGCCTGACCCACGATGCCGAGCACAAAGACCGAAGACCAAAGAGAAGACGTAGCACGACGGGTTCCATTCCAGAAAACAGCCCCGATGCAGCCCCAGGACCCCCCTTTTATGCCCCTCAGCGTGGCCCCGCTCCGTCCTCGGACTCGCCCCCACCGAAAACCTACTAAAAGGTTCTTTATCGCCTTCCACGTGTCCCCTGCCTGGCTCCGCCCTCGGCCACTAGAAGGTTCTGGGCCCTACAACACTTGTCCCGTCTATCACCCTTGGCCTACATCCCATCACGTGCTCCTGCCGGCCAATCGGGCTTCTACGTCCTCAATTGCCCCCTATTCTGCCAGCCACAGAGACCTCTTCCATGACATATAATCTGCTGGCAGAGAGGGCTACTATTCCCACTATTCCTTTCTCTGTCGGTAGATGGCTAGGCGCCATAGTGACCCATTATATGTCACTACATATGTGTGTGTGTGCAATTGTATATTTGCTATACATTGCTATACATACATAGAAAATATACATAACGAGTATACAAATCGATACACATAACATACATATAAAAATATACGTTACATTTATTTATTGTTGTAATTGAATTCGCTGAAACAGACACATCGTGTTTCTGTTTATGTAGTTTTATGTTGGCTGTTGTGGTTATAAGGTGGTTTTGGTTACATTGGTTGTGGTTATATTGTGATCATAGTTGTGGTTGTAATGTGGTAATTGTAATTATAATGGGGTTATGGTTCTGGTTATATTATGACCGGTTGTGGTTATAATGTGGTTGTAGTCGTGGTTATAATGGAGGTAGTTATACAAATACATGTCGTGTTGATGACCATATTAATACTGCGATTGTTTTATATCATAATGTTGCTGATGGTAATATATTATTGTTGACATGAACAATAACGTTATTGTTGATGTCATATCGTTGTTGATACGTCTTATTGTTGTGGATGTTGATCAAAAGTAGGCAAGCGAATGTCATTTCGAAATGAATAGCAGGATTTCAAATTCACTTAAGTTATGTCCAGTGCAAATGCATGGGCAGTGCTAGTATTAAATACCATCGAGATCCATCATCCAATGGCGCCTATCGAACCAATACAGTTCCAGCAGCGTTTGCTTAAGCAGAAAAACCTTGTTGGGGTTCAGACTCTCATCAGTAGGGTTGTGAGGTTCACACCGCTGATGAGCCGCACCCACTTTCCCAGCAAGTTTCTGCAAATAATGGTTGCATGCGGCACTCATCCACGTAACACTCAGATCTACATAGGATGTGTGTGAGAGTCTGTGTATGTGTGTGGGGAGCGGTAATGTTGCGGTTAGCGCACTGCGCTAAGAACCCGGCGACCCGAATTCGATTCCCGCTCACGGCCAACACCAGTGACAATTTTCTGAACCAGTCCTGGGCCTCCCTTAGGTCGACACAGCCTCAAATCAGTACTTGGTGCGATGTGTAAACATCACCACTGGGGAGACAAAGGCGGTCAGGCGTGGTGATGGCCACCCACCCCCTTTTATGTTGTTCAGGCTTTCATAGGTACTCGCTAACAGCGCTTTCCCCAAAAGTCTGTTCAGGCTGTACGGGGGATCTTTGTTGTTTGTACTTGTTGTGTGAGTTGCCTGTGATTGTGAGCATCGCGTGTGTTTATGTGAGACGTGTTTTGGGAGTGGCGTACCAAGAGTGAATCTCCACGACCGTGGAAGTGCATATTAACTCTTAATTATATATTTCTTTTCAGGTAAGGCCCACTGAGCTTTTTAGCTCTTTTTTAGAAACGACTTTGCCACTAATGATAGCTCAACAAAGTGGCTTATCGTCACGTGGAAATTTATAGCAGCCAAATACCCTAAACGCGTGTTTCTAATTGTGAAGGGAAAACCAGAGAACCCGGAGCTAAATCCATGCGACCATGGGGAGAGAGAGACACGCAAACTCCAAATATACAGCAGTAGGCATCGTCAGGGTTGGGATCGAACTCCGCGTCCTACTGCACACCAGGCCCCCGCACGACTGTTAAGCGGTGTCCACGTTTTATCCACATCTTGGAATCGTCGTCGACCACCACAAGCCTCCCGCCATCTCTCCTGCGTCTTCCCCAACTCACCCCCACCCCGCACAGGTGATGGCGTCCACTGGCAACCTGAACATTTCCTCCGGTGCAAGTGCCCACCCCGCTTTCCAGGACACCCTCTACGTGGTGATCTACAGCCTTCTCTTCCCCGTGGGACTGGCAGCCAATGCGCTGGCCCTCTGGGTCTTCTGCCGCCGCCTGCAGCCGCTGAAGAATGCCGCCACCGTCTACATGACGTGCCTCGCCACCACCGACCTGCTCTTCGTCCTGTCGCTGCCCTTCCGCATCTCGTACCACGCGCACCGCCACTGGATGTTCGGCGAGGCGCTGTGCAAGTTGACGAGCGCCCTCTTCTACGCCAACCTGTATGCCAGCGTGCTCTTTCTTACCTGCATCTGCGCCGACCGCTACCTGGCCATCGCCCACCCACTGCGCTTCCCGGGCGTGCGCACGCCGTGTGTGGCGCGCCTCATCGCGCTGGGCGTCTGGGTCATCGTCGCGCTCGGCACGGTCCCCATCTACCTGCTCGATACCACCAACGCCAAGCTGGGGTTCGTAAAAGGTGAGCATGGTGGGGGGGTGGGGTGGGGGGGGTGGGAGGTGGGGCAACTGGGGGGGGGGGGGGCTGTTTTTGCCGCATTTTAGCCTCCCGGCACATCATTTGTTGTTGTCATCGTTGCTCCTCCGCACTGCGTTTGTTGTTGAAGTGCAATTGCCTCCCAACTGCCCAGTAGCATCGTTCAAGAGCTTCCCCCACAGAGGCCGATCATCCTGTACCCCATCTAAAGGACGTTGCTATGCCCATTAGCTACCCTCTAGTCAAATAGAAGCTGATTGGACATATGCTGACTGGGCATGCAGGCGACATGACCAAAAGAACCCCAGCCTGGTTAAACCCAGGATGGACCACAAAAGAGGCCGGCCTGAATGTACTGAACTGGTGCAGATGTTTTCTTAAAGGGGTCCACGTTTCACAAGCATAGAGAAGGGATGGTATAATTGTGGCTGACAATGCCCAAAGCTTCATACAAACTATTTTACCAGGTAAGGTTCACTGAGCTATGAAATTATTTTTCAGAAGCATTCTGGCCACAAATAATAGCTCAACGAAATGGCTTATCATCATGTGGATATGTATAGCAGCCAAATTCTCTAAATGCATGTTTTTTTTAAATATGGAGGAAAAACCAGAGGACCCGGAGAAAAATCTATAACCACGGAGATAACATGCAAACTCCAAATATACAGGTGTTAGAGTCGGGATCGACTCACGACCTCCTGCATACCAGGCGAGGGAGTTAACTTTTGCCACCTTGGTGCCCATATATGGAACGATAGGCCAGGTAGCTACCACACAGCGTTACGTAGCTGATGTTAGCACCAGTCGACTGATTCGGAATGCGACCTCCACTGCCAAACCGGAACTAGTAATAAGAACTGAATCTCTCCTCCATGGCTCCACCCCCCTCTCTTCCTCCTACCCCCAGCCCCGCTTACTTCCCAGCCCCGGCATTTTGCCATGCTCGTTTTGGAGCTTGCAGCACTCCATTCCCCCTACCCCACACCCCCACCCACTCTATCTCTCCTCCCTGGCTCCGCCCCCCCCCTCTTACCGATATATCCTCTTGATACAAGCACCCCTTTTGCCCACTTCAGCAATTGTTTCTTGCGGTGGTTGTCCCACCTGATGACGGACGCTTGTGTTGCACCCGAAACGTCGTGATTTAATTTATTTACTTTATACCTACGTGACTTTACCGAAAGAACCAAAGAGTAATAAGAACTGCTTTGTTTGTCAGTTTGTTGTCCTTCCCCCACACTACTGATTAGCGCGATTGGCTAGATAAGGTGCAAAAGAAGTTCAACACACATACGTACATTCATACACACCACTCAGGTAGGAGAACTCCAGTCTTTCCTCTAACTCAGGGGAAGATGAGGTGAGATGTCGTTGTTGTTGTTGTGAAGGCTGGATTATGGACCGGGCTAGTGGGGCCAGTGCCCCGGGGCCTCAGACTGCCAGGGCGCCTCCAAGCCTCAGGCAGCGTGCGGTGCGTGGCCCAAGACTTCCGAAGGAAGTTGAATGCCGGGGCCCTCAGTGCGCACAGCGCAAGCTGACTACTAGGCCCCTGGGTGCTTAAAGCGTGAGCTAAACACTAGGGCCCCCCAGACCCCTCAGTGCTTACAATGTGGGGGCCCCCGGGCCCCTTGGTGTTTAAAGAGTGAGCTGACCACTAGGGCCCCAGGGCCCCTCAGCGCTTACAGTCTGAGGGCCCCCAGGCCCCTTGGCGTTTAAAGAGTGAGCTGACCACTAGGGCCCCTAGGCCCCTTGGGTTTAAAGCGTGATCTGACCACTAAGGCCTCTGGGCCCCTCGGCACCTACAGTGTGAGGGTCCCTGGGCCCCTCCGTGCTTAAAGCGTGAGCTGACCACTAGGGCCCCCGGGCCTTGCAGCGCTTACAATGTGAGGCCTCTCGGTGCTTAAAGCATGAGCTGACCACTAGGGCCCTTTGCCCCGCAGCGGTTACAATGTGAGGCCCCTCGGTGCATAAAACATGAGCTGACCACTGGGGCCCACGGGCCCCGGAGCGCTTACAATGTGAGGCCCCTCAGTGCTTAAAACATGAGCTGACCACTAGGGCCCCTGGGTGCTTACAGTGTGAGTTGACCACTAGGGCCCCCAGGCCCCTCGGTGCACACATCGAGCGTACCACCTGGGGCCCCTTGGTACATACAGTGCATGCTGAAAACGAGAGCCTCTCGGAGAGTACAGTGCTTCTGTACAACTGAGCCACTGGTTGGCATGCTACAATATGCTGTGACATGATACAATATTCACCAACAAGTCAGTTCATTCTGCATGACAGGACAGGTTGAAGGGCGTCTTCTTATGGCAAGCCGTTGGTTATTTTACTTACTGTCACTAGCTATCACTTTATTTTAGCTAGCTGCCCATTTTCCCTAGCTAGCTACCCATGATTCAGCTTGTTAACAGAAGTTAGTCAGCTAGCTGCCATTTGTGCCCGCTAGCTGCCCTTACAACCAAATTAGCTGCACTAAAAACCCAGCTAGTGAGACCGAGGGCTCATCGTGTTTAGTTAGCTGTTGACAAATCCATTATTAAAAATACACCGCGGTTTGTGAAACATTAAACAAAAAGCTATATTTTGCCAAAAGCTATATTTTTTCATTCACTAGAGACCCAATCCATACTTAAAGATTAAGGAAAACCCCATTCATTTTTTTCCATAGACCATCTGTTTTTAGATCCACGGAAGTAGATAATGCTAAAGTTGACATGCAGATTGTCGACAGCTCTTACGAGGTCTTTTTTCCCCCTCCCTATCCATGGGGTGTGGCCTGTGGGGTGTGGCCCCTCCCCATCGATGGGGTGTGGCCTATGGGGTGTGGCTCCTCCCCATCGATGGGGTGTGACCTATGTGCATCGTCTCCAACAAGTCATTTCACTGACTTATCATAAACCTTTGTTGGTTGTTCAGCCAATTAATATATATTTTTTCAAGCAACATAATTTTCTGTGTCAGGCAGGTATTTAAGACAATTCTAGGAAAAGCCACAGACATATGCCTATTTACTTGCTTGGTAAACCACAGTAATATATTAAGATATTTTTTTTCATCTTTTTCTAAAGCAACAGCCTTTTTAAACGCTATTTCAACAATCCCTCCATAGGGCTATTTTCTAACAGCCTTTTTTAAAGGGTTATGATTATTTTCTTTAATGTGTTTTTTTTCTTTTATCCACTCAAAGCTGCCTTTAGGTACAAGTAGACTAAAAAATACTACCACTTGATTGTATTTTCCAACAACAGTATTTGAAGGGTGTTGTCATTATTAATATATGTTAATTCAATTATTATTTAATAAGTATTGAGATATGCTATAAATATATTCATATAAATGGCATACTAGTTATGAAATATGGGCCACAAACGTTGGAATCGTGGTGCTTCCAAAAGGAAAGCCAAAAAAGAAAAGGAGGCAAGAGAGGCAGTTTTCTTCAAAGTGTTCCACTCATTGCCGACTTCTATAAAAACCCTCTGATAGTAATAATGATGACAGCAGCACTCTTGTCAGCTGTGAGGAAGGAACTAGCCCTAGTTCAGTTTCCAGTAATATTGTCACTCTCCCAGAGCCATCCTTTGAAGGCGAACCCTCAACAGCTAATGGTGTACAAGAACCATCATTTCCACCTCAGGAGCAGTTGGGCAATTCACAAGAATCAAATCAGCAACCAAGCCATTCCTGGTGCTATGAGGTCACTGACCCTGCATTATGGCAAAGCACTTCCAATGACATTGTGAAGTCAGTGCTTGTTGAAAGAGGAGCAGTCCCCTTCCAAACCTGCAGTGAAGAATACCCAGCTTCATTCCGAGATAGAGCGCTTGGTGGAAAGACGAGAAGTTTAAACAATGAACTTCTGAACTATATATTGCTAAATGGGCAGAAGGTGTTTAGACAGTGGCTACTGTACTCACCCTCAACAGGTTGTGTGCACTGTTTTGCACGCAAACTGTTCTCCAGCAAGCTTGGTGGCTTTAGTCAGGGGTTTTGCGACTGGAAGCATTCTGAAAGAATAGGGGAACACGAAAAGCGTGCAGAACAGAGATCATGCGTGCTTGCCTTGCACCAGCGGACAAAGGGCAGTGCTATAGATGCAGATCTCGTGCAGCAACTTGATGGGGAACGTAAATACTGGAGGGACATTTTGAAAAGAGTTGTTGTAGCAGTGATCAAGTTCTTGGGTGAAAGAGGACTTGCGTTTAGGGGATATGATGAACGCTTTGGGTCAACCCATAACGGTAATTTCCTTGGCATCCTAGAATTGCTACCACAATTTGACCCATTCTTAGCTGAACATATTAAAACGTTTGGTAGAAAAGGAAGAGGCACGGTGTCCTATTTGTCATCGACAATACGTGAAGAACTCATGGAGCTAATGGGTCAGAAAACTCGCCAAACAATAGCAGATGAGATTTGGGATGCCAAATATTTTTCAATAATTGTTGACTTCACCCCAGACCTGTTACATGTGGACCAATTGACGTTCATATTCTGGTTTATTAACAGCAGCGGGAATGTGGTGGAGCGATTCCTGGGCTTTGAGCCAATTGAGAGCCACACCGGTAAAAGTTGAGCAGACTGTGTGACTTTGATGGTGGAGGGCCTTGGGTTGGACCTCTCACACTGTAGAGGTTAGCCATATGACAATGCAAGCAACATGTCAGGAAGGCAAGAAAGACACCAATATAGAAAAGCGGGGGGGGGGGGGGGGGGCTCCAAAAGACATGTGCCCAGGGTCCTCACGGGACCATGATCCGGTCCTGGTTGTTGTTATCGAGACAATACGAGGGGCCTGTTTCATCACGTTGTGCCGCGTATTTGAGCCGTCGACGTGCAGCTAACATGGTTGTAGAAAGCGAGGGGCAGAGGCGCCACCGGAGGACGTGATGTAGAGTGTTTACGTAAGAAACATTATAGGCGGCTCAAGAGCGTTCGTACTTTCCCTCCACCCATCCTAGTCCGTCACTCGTCTAGTCCATCAGGAGGTTTGTACCCTTTTCATCATTGGTCCCCGACTCCCTGTCCGGCAAGCTCATTTCAGGTGTTGTAGCCTCCATTTCCCCCTCCTTACCCTTGAGCTTATGGCTCAGATGCTTTGATACCCACACATGCTAGGAGCGTACTGTCCCACGGTTTCCATGTGGGTTGTTTGTGGTGAGATGTAGTTGTACCATGACATTGAAAACAACCGAGTCATGTGCTTTGTTTTTGTTCGTGGGAGGACTATGTGCTCCAGTTTCAGCAGCAGAGTCTCCAACTCCGCTGAGTGAGCAGCATACATAATATGGTTGACTAATAGGAAGCCATCCCTTGACTTTACCCGGGTATGGATTAAGCTTCCATTGAATTCCCTCCTGCTGAAGTGGAGGCGAGCCCAGCCACCCACCGCAGCTTTAAACCTATATTTGAGGCAGTGTGAAATTATATGGTCCCAGTTTTGTGTATCGTAGCCACAGCCGGTACGGACGATCCAAGCTGGGCAGTGTGGTGGTGGCGGTGTTGGTGGGCTCGCTGATATTTATTTTTCCGAGGAACAACTGTTTATAAATATTAAAAATAAGAATAGGTTTTATGCTTTCTGGCAATCAAAATGGTGTTAAGATGTTCAAACACCAAATAGATACCGTTTGCAAGGAATCAAGTCTTCATTGACCCCACTTACTTGTGATGAACATGCAAACAAACTCTGATACATAATATATTAATTGTCTTTGAAGTTGATTAGCCTACACTAGAGACAGCCTGTGTGACCAAGTCTCAACCAGTGTTAGACCAGAGAATTCCCAAAGGCAAACAGAACGGACAATGCACTATCATTGAATTTATAGCTCGCGGTAAACAGCTACAATATGGGACCTTTACCAGAGCAAGTTTTTGTTTGCATGTTCACCACAAGTACTGTGTGTGGTTCATGCAGACAGGATTCCTTGCAAAAGGTTTCTGTTTGGTGTTTTAACATCTTTATACTTTTTTGCCAGAAAGGGTAAAACCTATTCTTATACAATACAGTGTATAATATTCTTAAAATCATATAAACAAATACAATTATATATATTTCACTTGGCAACAACAACCAAATTGCTGTACTCAGGATCGTTCACAGTGGCAGTGCCTTAGGTAGGCCTTTTTCCAGCAGTGAATTGACCATGGCCAATGACGACGATAATGGACAGTATTGTTGTTGATGGTGGTGGTGGCAGCGGCATCTGCTTTGGTACTGACAGTATTTCTATTGTTCTGCTGGCGGTGCTGGGACTGATGATGGCCATGATGCTGCCGGTGCAACCACTGCTGCTGGTGCTGCCGCAGCCGAAACCTGCTTCCAGGGCTTCTCCGAGTCGGACTGGGAGACGCTCTCCGCCGTAGTGCTGACGGTGGAGCTCGTCGGCTTCATTGTCCCACTCTCCATCATGGCACTGTGTTCATGCGGCATCGTCAGAGCCCTGCGCCGCGTGCGCCGCGACCGCCGCCAATTCCTCCACGTCCATCTGGGCAACGCCAAGGCCCCGCGGGGAGGGACTGCCGCCACCGACCGCCCAACCGGCCATCGGGACGGCGACGGTGACGACGACGGCGGCGGAGAGAGGGATGACGACCTCAGCAAGGTGGGCCGGCTGGTGGTCAGCACGCTGGCCATCTTTGTCATCTGCTTCGCGCCCTACCACGTCGAGATGGTGTTCTATATGCTGCTCCGGCGGAAAGCGCTGCGTGGCTGGGCGAGCCTGGAGCAGGTGGTGCGCTTCGCGCAGCCCGTCACGCTCTGCCTCGCCAGCTCCAACTGCGTCCTTGACCCGCTCATCTACTACTACCGCGCCAGGGCCTTCCGCCGGGCGCTCACGCTGGGCGCTGGCCCTTTCTGCAGCGGCGGAGGGAGCCGCTGGCGCCGCTGGTGCCGCGGTCGGTGGCCTTGGTCGGTGGAGGAGGAGGGACGGCAATGCTCCAGTGAGCCGGCAGTCATGATGCTGCGTCCTGACACCTGAAGGGGGTTTATTGGAGGTCCCTGTGGGACGAAGGCAGGCTCCAGTTGTCATGAGCGGGTGGACAGTACTCTGGTCAGGGCAGGAAACTGACAAACAATAGGGAGCGGCTCTGCTCTCTGAACAAAATAATGATGAAGTGGGTGTGGTAAAGCGTTGAGGCGGGGTGTGGGGGCGCTGTGAATCCCAGGCTGTTGTGGGCTCGCCCCCATCAACAGGCGGTGAAGAATGGTGGTGGGTGCCATGGTGGTGAGATGTTAACTACTTCGCCTGGTATACAGGAGGTTGTGGTTTTATCCCGACTCCCAACGCCTGCTGTATATTTGGAGTTTGTGTTTTCTTTGTCTCCGTGGTCACGTGGATTTTCTCTGGGTCCTCTGGTTTTTCCCTCCACATTAAGAATCAGCACACGTTCAAAGTATTTGGCTGCTATACATTTCCACGTGACAGTGACATAAATTTCATATGAATACATGTAATACGTTTTAGTTTGTTTAATTTTGTATGGTATTAATGGGATGTTCTAGAATTATGAACACACTTCTACATGCCGTCCATAATTCACTTTAATCCATTTAATTCGGCGTTCAAACTCTTATAAAAGATTTCCCAACATAGCTGTAGGGATGGATGATGACACAACAGCATCAACAATACGATGTTTAACTTCTTCAAGGCCCCTTTGTTTGCTGGTGTAAGACTTTACTTTTTAACACACTTCAAAGATTAAAATCGAATGGTGTTAAGTCAGATGAAGGAAAATGGAGTTCCTCCTGATACAGAAAGTAGGAATCAATATTCACAATATACTAAAACATATAAGTCTAATGCATATATCCATGTCAAATTTATGTGAGTATCGCGAATAACAATACAACTATTGAAATGTATTATTGGTATATTCATTTTCCGTCACCCTATATATTTAAAAAAAAAACGTTGTTTGAAGAAAAACACCAATCTCGAGTCAAAATTGTGACAAATTCATGGACTGTCAAGCGGAGTGACTTGCCACACGCATGCTGGGGCTGCGTGTTCCCGTGCTCGTATCTGTGGCCACCCAGGGCTGCCTCCCAGCACCGAGCGCCACGTAGAGCAGTAGACCACTCCCATTGGGGCCTCTCCCACCGGGGCCACTCCGTGTGCCCTGTGCTCGTATGTAAAACAAACGGTGACTCAATTCATTAACTGAATCTAATCTAATTTATAAGCTCAGTTGTATACTTTTAGAACGTCTCGTAGATTTATCGATAGTGTTTATGTGCACATATTTTAAAAAATAGTATTTACCGAAGAATATTGTTTAGGACTTGTAGGGTTATTACATTTAATTAATAATTACATTTACACTAATTGTTTAGACTTGTCCGACATTCGGAACCAAACTTTCCATAATGAGATAAGGGTTCTGTATGGGATGAGACGAGGGTTCTGTATGGGACAAGATGAGGGTTCTGTATGAGAGGAGGATTCTGTATGGGATGAGACGAGGGTTCTGTATGGGACAAGATGAGGGTTCTGTATGAGATGAGATGAGGATTCTGTATGGGATGAGACGAGGGTTCTGTATCGGATTCTTAATTTATGGTTGGCAAAGATGTTGTTCCACTTTACACGCGCTTACCGCTACCTGATTTGCGTCGCCTCAACCCCACACTCACGTCGTTGACAGCATCATCACTCGTCCTGTCTCGTTATCCATTGCCTCTCAGCCTTCGCCTCCACCACCCACTCTGTAAATCGCTTTGATTGACGTCGTTTTGACGATGATGGTGACCACGATGGCGATGCAACCCGCCGTGTGTCTTAGCGAGGGCCCCCCGGGGTTTGATCTGTGTTTATTCTGAGCGGTTCTTGTTTAGGGCCGAAACTCTTCCGCCCATTTCTGATGTTTACGTTCAGGCTTGATGTTTAGTTTCGGGAATGGTCACCGGGTGCCCTCCACCCCGCGTCCTTCCTTATAAAGCCTCCTCCACCTCCACCTCGGAGTCATCGCCCCCGCTGCTTGTCTTGTGTCACCAGTCGCCGTCGTGTTATTGCAGTTGTCGGCTAGCGCGGTGCGTGTGCTGTGTGTGAGTATAATCCCAGTGTTCTTCCCTCATTTTCAGAGGGGAGGGGGTGGCGGGCGGGCGGGTGGGGAGCACTTTCGCCGATAAGACATCACCATCAGTGCGTGTGGGGGGTCCGCCACGCCACTTAAAACCATTGGGGGTTTGTGGCAGCAGCACGGCGGTGATGATGACGACGATGGAGGGTGTCTTCACTATCTGTGTATTGTCGGGGGCCGCACGTCAGGGGCCGCACTGAAGGCCACCCAAATGACGAACACTGGGCCTGTGACGTTACAGAGCTCTCTCTGAAGCCCGGCTGAAAAGCAATGCCAAGTGTTGACCAATCCTGGTCAGGTGGCTCATAACACCGAGTAAAGTAATCACGAGCATCGTTGTGGAGAAAATAAATTACGAAATAGATCACAAGCACGCAATGCCTCCTTCAAATATCTCCTCTCGCCATATTCCAAAAGAAAAATAAAACCATTTTCTTCGCACATCCCATCAGCCGCACGTGCTTTTGGGAGTGCGCCATTCCAGCAGCATTCATTGAAGGCGAGCAAACACTCTGGGCCGGTTTCGACACGCAGCGGTCTCATCAGCAGAGTCGGGCACTGTAGACCGCACTGCATGTCCAAATCGGTCCAGAGTCGAGGGGCATGAGGCAGGATCCACATATGTGGGCCCAATCCCCGTCTGAATTATCAAGGAATTGGCCTTCCCCTACATGCACCCGAGCGGGTCCGGGCTGTGTGCCTATCTGCTTCTATCTGTGGGATCTGCGTGGCCAGTATGAAAATGATGATGGAAATATAAGTAGACATGTCACCCTTTCCACAAGCGTGGGCGTAACGGTGGCGAGATGTTAACTACCTCCCCTGGTATCTAGGAGGTGGTGGGTTCACTCCCAACCATGACGCCGCCTGCTGCATATTTGGAGTGTGCATGTTTCTCTCCCCATGGTCGCATGGATTGTATCTCCGGCTCCTCCGGGTTTTCCCTCCACATTTAGAATCAGTGTGCGTTTAGAGTATTTGGCTGCTCTCAATGTCGAAGTGATTGAACCACGTCGTTGAGCTCTCATTTGTGGCCAGGTCGATTCTGAAAAAGAGCTACAGTATATAGCTCAGTGGGCCTCACCTGGTAAAATGAAAATAATGTTGAAAGTTATAGACTGGTGATATCCGAGCCAGAATCCGAGTTCCCCCCAACAACCCACACGGCCATCACAAAAGTCCCCCGAGTAGCCTTGACAATCTGTTGGGACAAGTGCTGTAAGCGAGTAGCACCTATGAAGGCCGGCACGGCACACGAGGGGGTGGGTGGCCAGTACCACGCCTGACCGCCTTTGTCTCCCCAGTGGCGATGTTTACACACCGCACCAGGTACTCATTTGAGACTGAGTAGACCTAGAGGAGAATTAGGAGCGGTTCAGATAATCGCCACTGGTGTTGGCCATGAACGGGAGTCGAACTCGGGTGACCAGGTTCGTAGCGCAGTGTGCACTAACCGCCACCACAAAGACTGAGATACCCTGTATAGCCTCAACAGACTGTTGGGGCAAGTACTGTTAGTGGGTGGTCAACACCACGCATGACCGCCTTTGTCTCCCGAGTGCCGATGTTTACACACCGCACCAGGTACTCATTTGAGGCTGAGTCGACCTAGGACGGCCACTATCACTGGTGACAGTGGCCGTGAGCGAGAATCGGGTTCATAGCAGCGCAGCGCTAATCGCCACCAAAACAACAACAACCGCCATTCGCCACTCAGTTGCGGTGACGTCACCACGACGCTTGTGCCAGGCTATGTGCACGTTGAGGCCATGTGAAGTGTCAAACGCCCGCTGGCAGGAGGTCACGGGGCAGACCCAGGTGCCACGAGTAGACTGACTGAGATGACTGAGATAACTGGCTGATGCACCACCTGTGCCCCCTACTGTGCGAACTTGCTGTGCTTTAACCACCTGGCGCTCCGCTCGTTGTTGTGAGCGTCGCTCCTCCGCCCTCCGTTGTTGTTGGAGGGCGACTGCCTCTAACTGCCCAGTAGCGTCCTTCACGAGCCTCCTCCCCAGAGGCCGATCTTGACACCGCTGGTACTAGTTATCGGCAAGTCCACTCAGCTCCACATCCTCCTGTATCTCTTCTCTAGCCCATGCCGCGCCCGTTTAGCCACCTCTATCCGGCCTAACAAAAGCTGTTTAGGCATGCGGTGACTGGGCATGCGGGCTACATCACCCAGCCACCGCAGCCTTGCCTGCCGGAGGAGCTCACCGATGGGACTTTGTCCAGATCTTTCAAGGATTTGTGAGCTCTTCACACAATCCAGCCTGGTTAAACCCAGGATGGATCGTAGGCAGGCCAGCCTAAATGTTTCTAACCGGCGAAGATGTTCCATTAGGGGGGTCCACGTTTCGCAAGCGTAGAGAAGGGAGGGAATGACTGTGGCCGAGAAGACCCGAAGCTTCGTGCAGAGCGACAGACCAGGTATTTTCCACACAGCGTTACGCAACCAATGAAAAGATAATGCCACTCGACTGATTCGGAGTGAGACCTCTGCTGTCAAACGGGAGCCGGTCATAAGCACACTGCCCAGGTATGGGAAACTCTCCACTCTCTCCACAACTGCCCCATCACCAATTGGGAGTTGTGGGGGTGGAGTGTCTGATGGTACAAAATACCCAGGCAGGTGCTTAGCTTTGGTGGGGCTGATGGTAAGGCCCCACCTCTGAGCGGCACGCTCCAGGTTCAGCAGCAGCGCCTCCAACTCCTCCTCTGAGCGAGCGGCAGTTACAGATCATCGGCATACATAACGTGGTTGAGCAATAGGGAGCCATCACTTGACCGCACCCGGGCATCGATCAGCCTCGATCGGCCTCCCATTATAACCGCCACCACACAGCCCCACCCACACACAGCTCAGTGACTGCGGTCGCTGTGCGAAGTGAGGGGAGAGACTGAGAGGATATAACGAATCCGTGACAGAATGAATGACGAATTCACAATTTGAATGAATGATAAATCCATTCAATTATATAATGAAACCGCGACAGAATGAATGACGCATTCAGAATTTGAATTAATGATAAATTCATTCAGTGATATAATGAATCCGCGACACATTGAATGATGCATGCACAATTTGAATGAATGATACATTAATTTTATAATGAATCCGCGCGACATGAATGCCATATTCACTATTTGAATGAATAATACATTCATTCAGTTATATAATGAATCCGCGACAGAATGAATGACAGATTCACAATTTGAATTAATGATACAT